CCACATAATTCAAGGCTTGATGAAACGTTGTTAAAGGCATTTTTGATTCCCGGTTATTAATCAAGTAACTATAAATATAAGCGGAAGGAGTTATTTGCAGAACAGAATATTATAAACGAATGACAAGCTCGAAAACTTACACTTTTTTGAACAATACTCTCATCGCTATTTCCCTTGCAAGTTCAACCGTCAAAAATGTATTCTGAGAAACCAATTTTACCTCATTCTTTGCTAGCGCATCATCAAAACTTTTAACGTTACCGTCTCGAATTGCATCAACAAATGGTTTATATAATTTGTTTAATCTAGGATATCGAGAGAGTATCTCTCTCGATGGCAAAATACCCTTGATCAACCAAACAGGTATAAGGTAACGGAGAATTAGCCTATACTTAAAAATAAGGAGAATGTAGATATTAAGTAATCAAAATTTATGTCGAGTCGATCTGTAATCTCGACAGGCATCGAGAGAGACTCAACTCTTTGTTTTTCTTGCTGCTCTTAGGACACATTCTAAATGCAGCCACTAATTTTTCTTCAGCCTAATTGGTCAATTAAGATATTAGAAAAGCGATTTCGAAATGGACAAAACATTGAATTGATATATATATATATATTTAAAAAAAAAAAAAAACCGGCGAATATTCTGCATCTAAGAATAGGAGCAATCCCTGGTAATAAAGGAAAGTCACTTTGTGCGCTTTGGGAAATTTTTCAAAAACAGGTAAGTCTGCCGATGCTTTAATAGACTTCACAACGTTTTTGCAGAGATTTTGTTGTTTCAACTGGAAGTTCCAAAAGAATGTGAATAATGTGAACATGAATTCAACTAATTTGATTGACTGACCTTAAAGTAGGTTTTAAATAAAAGCCCCGCAAAATAGTAGGTCCCCCACTTGCGTGATGTGCTGAGTGGAGATCTGAAATAAGGAGTACAAACAATGAGATTTTTTGGCAATTAAATTACGAAGCACAAATAAACATGGTACTAGTACCTATCAGTTATGCATATAGAAAATGTCTTGTTTATTGTCCGAGCTGCTATTTCTAAATTTTTCGGTGGTTTCTCAGCCATCATAAAGATCAAGTCAGACTACGAACGATTATTAAAATTAGTGATCAAAGTCAAAAACGAAGCAATTAATTATGAATATCTAATTACCTTGATCGCGAGTAGTCGTAAATCAAAATCGATGACATAAAAAATCGGCAAAAACCACCGTGAAGAATTAGTTCTATGAAAAGTCCTTAATTTAGATTGATCAGATGTTAAGGAATCTAGAATAAATTTTACTCTACACTCTGATTTTCAATAAAACTTTTCCATGAATAGGATACTGGACTAATAAGAGGTGTTCTTCAAAGGCCTCGGCATACTTTCTTTTGTTGATGGACATGATTACTTTAATATACTGAACAACCAGCTCATTCCATGGTTGTTCTAATATTCTCTTTGCGTCAACTTCCAACTTTTTAATTGAAATTTTTTCACAGTGGCTGGCTAATGCATGCATGAAAGTAGCCCTTATAGTCAAGAGCTCCGCAACTTTGGATCCGTTTTCACGAATTACTTGTTGCTTTAAGTTTTGAAAGAATTCGGAAATGTTTATTCTAGTACTCAGATCCATAAGGGTTTGGATAATCGCGTATCGTTTATATATATTATTACCAAAAATATTTTTTTATCCGCATCTGGTTGACTATGTTAAATAAAAATAACCCACAATCAGGCAGGACAGTTGTTTATTAATTATATGTACAGTATATGCTATATATTTTTTTTAAAAAAATTGGCTCAACCTTTCTTTATTAATTTGATAAATATATTGTATTTCAATTATATAATATTTAATAAAAATAATCTAGAAAGAATTTCACAAATGACAAAATTCTCTAAAAAAATTGTAAGAGTGAAAGCTTTAAGATCAGAACAGCTAATAAGAATAATAATAAGTTCTTTTATTTTGTAAAAATTTGTTTCAAAGATAAAAAAATCTTCAAGTATTTTATAATTGGTTCTTTTTTTTAAAAAAAAACTTTTTTATAAAGGTATTATTTGATTTTTTTTTTTTTTTGATTATCAAAAGTTAAGTTTTTGATTAAAGAGATTTGTAAACAAGAAGAAAGATATAATAATAACTTTTGAAAAATGCTTTTCAAATTGTTTTAAAAATAGTAATAAGATTTTATTAGTCAAGAAGTTCAAAAACTTTTAATAAATAATTTTTTTAAGTAAAAAAAATTAAATAAGATTTATAAATATTTGAAAAAAAATATAATAATAAAAAAATAATTAATTTTTAAAAATAAAAATTTTATTAATAACTTAAATAATTGAGAGTTTTTTTTTTTTTTGCAATCTAAAATCATATCACAATAGTTGTAATTATTAAAAAATTAAAATAGAATCTATAATAATTTATAGACTTTCACAATATAAATAACTTGTTATTATATATAAGTATTCTAAATCAGATTTTGAAAATAATATTATATTTTTCTAATATAATTAGATTAATCCTTATCAAAATTATTATAAACAATTTATCACTATTGGTTAATTCAAAAATTAATAAATTACTAAGTTAAAAAAAAAAAAATAATAATAATAATAATTGAAAAAAAGACAAGTTAAGATTTCATCAAAAAAGTTCAAAAACAAAGTTTTTTTTTTTTAAAAAAGAGTTGTTGAATTAAGATATTTTTCTTGTTTTACTTGAATTTCAGATAAAAATTTTTTTATTATTATCTATAAAATTAGATAAGTTAATTCAACTTTTTTTTCTTTAAACAAGTACTAGATTGAGATATCTCAAAATAAATATTCAAGTCTTAGCTTTTGTTTATTAAAGCTTTGTTATCTTTTAAAAAGCTTAAAAAAGAAATAGAAATTTATAATTTACATTCATTTTTTGATTTTTTAATATTATAGATATCTTTATTAAAGAAATTATATTTTTGAAGAATAAATATTTTGAAAACATTCTTTTCAATTATCAATAATATTATTAAAATATGTAAATATAATTAATAAGAACTTGTTTATATTCTAAAAACTAATATGTTTTGTTTTTTTTTTTTTTTT